TGCAAGGTGGTAAATCTAGCTTTAAATAATAAAGACAGTGAGCTTAACCAACTACAACAGTAAAAACCTGCTTTTACATGAATGCATGAGTAATAATAACCTTATGAGAAATGATATAATAATATAACAGTCATAGGGGACTTTATTTGTTTAAGTACTTTTACTTTAATACTTAAAGTACATTTCAGCCCCTTTTCTAAAGGACAGAAAGCCCACTAACACCTGCTAACATCTGGTTTTTGTATTCAATGGGATAGAAAACAATTGGTATTCACTCCCCTGATAAAGTAAATGCAGTAGTCACAGGTATTTTTTGGCCCCAGCTCCGATCTGCTCCAATTGGCAGTCATAGAAACAGGACACTCAGGTTGACACGCTAATTATTGCCCCCTTTGTGGCGTGATGCAATGACACACCGCCACGAATTCCGTCCCTCTCCATCCAAGCAGTGCTTTTAACATTGGTTAAAATTGGTCAGCGCCAAGTTTGAGACAGAGGCTGAATAATAGGAGATATAAAAAAGAAATAACCACTGAAACTTTTTTTACTAGCCTCCATGCCGTTTACTACTGTTTATTAACCCTGTTTTCCGGTTTGTTCGTGACATTAATAGGCAGGCAATAGGAAAGGAGTTTATCACCTATTCTTAGCATGTTTTCCTGCAGTTAATAAACCCACATATATGTGTTGATGTGGATGGGAAAAGGGTGATAAGTAACATTTTCACTGCAGGACTTTAACTTGTATCAGAGTATTTTTTTTATACTCTTGTGTTTGTGCTTTAACCTAAGTAGTGAATCTGAATGCTTCCTCCAGCACTGCGCTTGACAAGCGTGTCTTAATGCATAGCAGGGTCCAGCCACTCAACAATGGTCATTAACTTGTGGATTAGCCCTGTTATTCACTTCAGCTCACTCACACTCAGTAACAGTGAGGCCCCGCAGGCCGATGGTGAAACTGATGCTAACAGGAGTGGATGAGGCGTTTGGTTGGTGGAGGCCAGTTCAAGAGTTTAAGCCAGAGAAAGTCAGTTCAGTTTTGGAGGCTTCATGTCAGAGACAGCGGGCTGCTCACTCTGTCTGAGCGTAATGTAGGATGTTCTTTTCCTCTGTGTCTTTATGTCTTTGTCTTTCAGTCTCTGCATGATGAGAGGAATCTTGTTGGAGTGGGTTTATTGAGTTGGAGCGTTAAAATTAAAGCATCTATACCACAGTCATAGGAACGACAGAAACATGTGCATGTCCACTGACTGTTGAGAGGAAATAACTTCCCTCAAGACACACACAAACAAAATGAAATGACCTTTCATCAGGACGAGAGTTTGAATAGCGATGTTCCTAGACAAATAGCTCAGTGGATGCCAGAGGGCAGCCGCTGTCTTGTTTCCGGACTAAATATTTCTCATAAATGCGACAGACCAACTCACCTGAAAGAAATTCATCACTTCCGTTTTGAAGTGGTAGTCCACAAGCTCCTCAGTTAGTTTGACTATATTTCTGGCACCAGAGGACAAAATGCCGGGTGGACTTGTCGTTTGTATGGTTGCCAGATTTGTTTTAGGTTTTGTTGTGCGAATGTCGCAAGATGTGGGGATGAGGTGTGTGTCTCTGAGCCCCTGCTTGTACATTATGGATAGACTGATTATGGATAGACTGGGATTATGTAGCAGGAAAGAGTCTGACTCTTTCACCGGGCTGTGGCTGCTACAGTTTTCCCCGATTGTTTAAAAACATTTCCTGAAAGCTCAGTTTCTTCAATCTCTTGCCAAATGGAACACTGCACTCAACACCATGTTTTCTCCTTTTAAAAAGGATTCAGTGACCTTATGAATGTTTCTTACAGGGCATCAACTATACACAGGTGAAACAATTACAAAACTTTACCATCACAGTACTGTTCATATATGTTTTGGCTTCATGAGTTCATGCTACATATTCAAATATATAAAGCTCCTAGAAAGTGTTTACTTTTTTCCTTTTTTTTCAAAGTTTATTTTTTTCTATCAAAATAGTCTGCAGTGCATACAGTGCATATGTGTCTATCCGATGAAACACAAAACACAAATGTTTCCTATTTTGGCAAAACTCACAAAAATTGCACTGGTAAAATGAGCGACACTGAGTGAGACAATGTTTAGACTGGAATGAGGAAATCAGTGCACATATTACTGTAAAAAAGGTAACAAGGGATTCTTCTTTTGCCTCTTATTTTTCCTCCTCTCCCCCTTCGTTTTGATGTTGTTGTTGTTTTTCTTCTTCTTCCTCTCCCTCCACTTGTTCTTTTTTCCTCTTCCTCTTATTTTGTTGTTGTTATTCTTCCTCGTCTTCTTCCTTCTTCTTCTCTTCCTTTTCTTCCATTTCTTCCTTCTTCTACTTCTTAAACATATTCTTCTTCTTCCTCCTCCTCCTCTTTTTTCCTCTTCCTCTTATTTTGTTGTTGTTATTCTTCCTCGTCTTCTTCCTTCTTCTTCTCTTCCTTTTCTTCCATTTCTTCCTTCTTCTACTTCTTAAACATATTCTTCTTCTTCCTCCTCCTCCTCTTCTTCCTTTTCTTCCTTTCTCTTCTTCATTCTCCTCTTCTTCGTCCTCTTCTTCTTTCTCATCCTCTTCTTCCTTTTCTTCCTCTTTCTCTTCTTTTTGTTGTTGTTGCTCTTCCTCCTTCTTCTTCCTCCTCTTCTTCTCCTTCATCTCCATCTTCTTCCTCCTCCTCGTCTTCTTCTTTGTCTTCTCTTCCTCCTCTCTGTTCTCCATGCCACTCCATCCTCAGAACTTCTGTTTTGTATCATTCAAATTGTGATTTGCTGTGCTTTCAGCCTAATCCCCAGATTAAATGTTGGGATTTTACCTTTCTGCAAACCATGGGTAAGTTACATTTGTACATTATTATGTAGCTGAAACTTAACGATTCTTTACGTTTCAACAACCCTGTGGTTAACGTGTGGTTAGGTATAGGCACAAGAACTTGGTTATGGTTAGGGAAAATATGTTTTGGCTGAAAGCACCCAGGTTTGGTCGCACAAAAGCCGCTGGAAATGCAGTGATGGGTATTAAAAAACACCCACACAGCATTGGGTTGCATGAAAAATGACAAGAAACTATTGAAATTAATGTTGATGTTATCCTCGTTTGCATGGAGAGTAGTTTGTTCCAGGTGACTCTGCCCCTCTATAAATACATGTGGATAAGTAAAAGATTCAGGTGTTTCAGTGAGGTGATGTTGTCTTGAGCAGTCTGAGGCTTTTAACCGTCTGCTTTCTGTCTCTTTTTACCTGGAAGTGAGTCAACTGTGTCTCTCAGGGACCCTGCAGTCATTACTGGATAATGGAGATAGAACACTGTCCTGGATCTGATCGCCTTTATATAGCCGCCCCTCTCTTTTCTCTTGGTCCCTGACCCACATACACACATGCGCACATGCATGGGCACCCGTGTTACATTCAAATGGGTTTCACCTGATCGTGGGGCTTCTGGTTGTGAAAACGAATACGGGTCTAAATCACTGTTCCACAGACAAAGTGTGTTGCTTTCAACAGGACTTTGACTTGCTGTGACTGGACTTCCCGTTGATTTCACAAGGTTTTTAAGGCTGTTCATCAGAAACACCTCCAAGAGTTTGTGACAGTTTGTGTCATATCATTCTTGCAGTTGCAGGCAGCAATGCAGCAAAATCAAAATCTATGACTTCTTGATTTTAGCCTGCAGAGGGCAGCATTTCTCAACCCATCTACCATCAGTGTGCAGACACACGGTAGGGGTAAACTGGGTGTGTGTTCAGCAGTGGGGAAAATAACGCGCATACAAATAATAATTACTAAAATAATAATAATGTTATTAGATCAAGTGTTTTATAAACAGTTAAGATATTTAATATTTGCAACTGATTTTTATTAATTACAGGACTTATAGATCTTATAGAAAAATTAAAACTGCATACTTATATTTAACAAAACTTTAGTGCCACTGAACCTAGCTTTTTGTTTACACATATATATATTAGGGTGTTAATAATGAATCATATAATTTCTCTACTTTAAGAAAATATATTTTCTTTGTACTGTAAATAAGTTATCCATATCTGTCGCCATATTTTTTTCTCTTTGTCTGATTGTTTTATTAATTATTTTCTGTAAAACTATAAATGACAAAAATAAAACTGCTTACTCGAATGTGAGTTTCATACTAAGTGTCTTAAATTAACATGTTTTAATTAATGAAAATATATACAAAATAGGGTAAAATGCAACTATTTTGACAGATATTGTGATTGAGATATGAGTCAGGATTTTTGTGGGAATGGTCACTTTTGCATTTTATTTTCACTAGGAAAAAAAAAAACATGATAAAAATTACTTTAGCTGCGGTCTGTACCAAACAAGTGTAGTCTTTCATGTCTGGAATATGATTTGTAGGCTGGGCATCTCTGTAGCACAACAATGCTTCATTTAAAATGGTATGTTGTGATACATCTTACCTTTATTTAAAACTTGCAGCTCCTGTGATTTGAAAATTGCACTTTGCCATACAGTTTGATTAATTGTGCAGCCCTAGTCATGGGGGATTATGAGACGAGTTGCTCTTGGGCACAGACATGTATGAAAGACACAGAGATTTTGTGGTCGTTGAGCATCTTTTGTGGTTTTGTGTCTCTTTACTTTGTGTCTTCTCGTAGTCGTTTGGGTCTTGCTGAAGCAGTTTTGTATCTCATTGAGGTAATTTTACATCTTTTTTGGTTGTTTTTTCTCACTTTGCAGTCATTTTGAGCCTCCTTACTGGTTGGTATGTGTTTGTTTGACACTTTGCCAGTGATGGTCAGAGGGCCCCTTGACACTTTGGTTCCCTTGGCCTGTGCCTGGTAGGTTCGTTCAGTAATGGCCCTGGTTCAGTGTGAACAAAATTATTCATCTGTCCATTGATTTGATTGATACTGTTGCCATTTTGTCAAAATTATAAAACTTTTAACATTTAATGTTCCTTTCTTCTTGCTTTTTCAAATGTTTTCAGCAGCAGAGTCCTGAAAATGTGGAATCTTGTCTTCAAATAACATGCAAGGATCAGCACCCATAAAGTGATACGTCTCTAAATGACAGTTCTGCACTTGACGAGGACACGATGACATACAGGCCTTTTGGAAATACTGCAGCATTTTTGTTCCATGTTTAAATATGAAAGTGGATGGATTAGAAATTAGAAATCCAGAGGAAAAAATTGCAAACACTGCTGCATGGAGAGAATGGATTGGACATTTTATCAAATGTCAGTATAGTGTATATAAAGGATTAAAGCTGTAAAGAGCCCTGTTTGCTGTTTGCAGCAAGAAGAACTACAGAAAAAGCAAATGGGCAAATAAAACTGTGCGTCACAGATCAGAGGAAACTTGTACAGAGTGACTGACCCTCTGCTTTCACGGCCCAGAGATGAGTGTCTCTCAGCCCACTGATGATTTCCCTGTCAGGGGCAAAACTGGATCTACCATGAGGCTCCCTCTCCACAGCGCAGGAGACCACAATGGAAACGCTTTCCCAATTTCCTCTTCCTCCTCCTCCTCCTCTTCATCCTGTCTGGGGGAGTCATCTCCTGAGTCACTGCGGAGCCTGAGCAGCCTCAGCGGGGGCCGGACTGACAGCCCACTGGACTACGACATGTTTGAGGTCACCCTGATGACGACAGTGATGACCAAAACGGACCAAACGACAGATGTTGTCATTTCAAAATGGGTGCCAGAGGAGGAAAATAAACTGGATGATGATGATGATGACGTCTCGGTAGGAAAGATTCAAACAGCAACAGAGCTGACAGAATCCAATGACAACTCTGTGTCTGTTTACCTGGACGCAAACAGCTGTGAATACCGCCAAGACACCTGGAATGATAATGACACCCTGACGCTGGCTCTGTCCCTGACGACAAACAGCGGCAGCCATGACAATAATGATGACCTCAGCAGTGGAAGCAGTCATGGGAGAAGGCATGGCACCTCAACTCCAGACTCGGACGCAACAGAAATCCCTGCTGATGATGATGACGAAGAGGAGGCTCTGTTTCTGTCTGTGAGCTCTGACATGGGGGTGCGAAGAAGCAGCGTGACCCTCACAAGCTCAATCAGTCAATCCAGCGACAGCCAGATGAACCTTGCTGTGACAACTGAGCTACAGACAGAAGGGACTGCTGCTGTGAATGTAGCTGATGATGAGGTGGTGTTAGAAGAGCTTGGAGTCGACTGTCCTCCTGGTCTACCTGTGGAACGCCAGACAGAGCCTCCTGCTTCTGAGGACCTTTGTGAAACCACTCAGATATCTTCCTCTGCTCCATCTTCCACCAATCCAGGTCAAGATGCTGAGGAAGTCACATCTCCTCCACCTGAGGAAGTGAAAAGACGTTCAGTGGATTCCAAACCGTCCCAACCTAACACCAGTCAGCCTGCCAGAGCAGCAAAAACCAAACCAGCTGCTGCTACTTCAGCTGCTTCCAAGACAGCAGCACCCACAGCCATCAAACCATCCAGTGTGGAGGCAAAGAGAGTTTCTAAAGTGGACCTAAAAGATTTTGAGGCCAAAGGTAGATCACGGTCCAACCCGTCTCCACCTAAAACACCAAGCCAGGTACTGTATTGTTACGGAAAAGCCAACCCGTTGTCAAATACTAACACTTTTTCACGCCCCTTGGCATGTGATATCAAGTCAAAGGCACCCTTTTGCATCTTTATGTGAGGCAGTGGATGTTCAGCTAACACAGATGTTAACCCATCTGCAGCAAAACTTGCCTCTGAGTGCAACTGACGTCACATAAAGAGCAAGAAAGTCTGTATGGGCAGGAGGAACGTAAGGTGGATAGATCAAACCAAACAGGACTTTCACCCAGGAGACCATATTTTGTGCCCTGTGTGAAACCAAAAGTCACCGTTGTCTTGACATTTTGTTATGTAATTTACATATGGTCGTCGTGAACTCATGCTTCTTACGTCACACATTCACATCACATTATGCTCTGCTATTGTGACACAACAGTATTTTATTTGAACCCAAAACAGAACATTTTTTCCAAGCCTAACCAAGTGGTTTTGTTGTCTAAACCTAAGTGCAACCTTTTCGCAACATTAAACACATGTTACAAAGTCTTTTAGCTTTGCGTCATATAGAGATATTAAAGGGTGCCTTGTGCGTTGCTATGAGACACTGAGGGGCGTGACAAGCATCTGCATTTAAAGACCTGAGAATGAGAACGGGCTGAAAAAAGCTTACATGTATCAAATATTGTACAGCTGTTTTCTGTCTAACGTCATTTCTCCTCTACTCAACAGAACAAATCTGCTTCAGCCAATGGAAAGAGAGCTGTTCTTAGGAAGGAGGAAGCTCAAACCGGGGACGGGGGTAAAAAGCAAAGGTCATCCGCAGGTCCAGTCAAAGTGGCCGTGTTGCTGAAACCCTTCAGAGGAAAGAGCACTGATCCTAAAACCAACCACAAGCCAGCAGCCAATGACTCTGCTCGGCCAGAGAGGAAGAGTTTGGCTGTCAGTCGAATTCTCTCTACGTCAACCAGCTCTGTGGGGTCTGAGGTGGTTGAGGAAGGACCCCCGGGCTCTCCCAGGAAGGCTGTCCAGGAAGTGCATGATAAACGTGAAACAGGACACGGAGGGGTGGAGAATAAACATCCAAGTGAAGATGCTCATGAAGGTTCTGGAAAGGCTGCTGTGGAGAGACCAAGGAATCCTATTAGGGTGAGTACTATGAGCATGTCCGAGTGTGTTTAGAGGCAAACTTTCCCAATTCTCTACCAGGTCTGTGTCACCGTGGTGTAGGAAGTGTGTGTAGATTAGGAACCTCCTGTGAAAGCAGCACCAGGAACTCTTGCGCTTGTACACCGGCCAAATTCGCTGGATGGTGACTTTTCTCATTGCATGGATGGGGAGTTCCTAGAGCTGTCTGCATAGACTGTATAAAATAATTGACGTAGCTACCTTGACGCCATCAAGCTGCCACCTCTGAGGCAGAGAAAGAAAGCCAATGTGGAAGTGCCGTTCCTTGAATGACCCCTGCAGGCTGGCTCCAAAACAGAGCAAATCCCCATAGACCTCCATGTTAAAATGCCCAACTTTATAGCAGAAATTAACATGTTTATAGCCTGGTACAAAAAAATGATTTTTGTCTCTTCATCTAATTTCAACATTCATGACAACTGTACAGAAGGTGACTTTTTATATAACTAACCCATTTACATGTTATGAAGGCCCAAAGTTATGCATATTTAAGAGCAGGGCCGCTTGAGTGACCTGCTGTGAGGCATCACCACAGTCTATGAGTCAGATCCACCCCTCGCTTCTCCACAGCTCCAGCCTCTTGGCTAAATTTGGTCACTTTTGGCTCCAAAATAACAAAATGGTGACTGAAATGCCACCCTAAAGGCTGCAAAACAGCAGTCTTTAAACCAATTGGTGACCTCATGGTAGCTTCATCCATTATTTATACAGTCTCTGGACGTCGCCATTGGTTTTACGGACTCCCGTTTTGAAGCCTCGAGGTTAACATTTCGACTATTGCCATCTTGGTTTTTTTGGAGCCAAGATTGACTATATTTGGATGAGAAGGCGGAGCTGTGGAGGCTAACCCTTAACCATCTGTAATTTTAAGCCTTCACAAAATGTAAATGTGTGAGTTATGTAACAAGTCACTCCCCATACAGTTGTCATAAATGTTGAACTTAGCTATAGAGACCAAAATCGTTGTTTGTACCAGGCTGTAAAGATGTTTATTTCTGCTGTAAATCTATGCATTTAAATATGGGAGTTCAAGGGGATCGACTTACCTCTAGAGCCAGCCTCGTGTGGCCATTCGAGGAAGTGCAGTTTTTGACACTTCATGTTGGCTTCATTTTTCAGCCCCGGAGGTTGCGATTAGCTGCCAGTGTTGTATCCAAAGACTGTTTCCCCCTGTCTAAACCTGAACCAACCCCGTTCAGAAAACTTGTTTGATAAGACATCACCAATCCCCTAACCAAACCACCGAGGGGGTGCCATGCATTAACATGAGGGAGACACCATTCCATTCGGGAACAGACTTGAGTGGGGAGAATCCAAACACTGTTCATCTGCACACACCTGCACACAGTGATGACACAGACCTGGTTGTAAACTTGCAAAGTTTCCCTTCAACCTGAGCTCCTCTGTGCGTTCAATCACAGCTGTCGTAATAAAATGATGTCATTTTTCAATCTGATGCCAACAAGGATCCAGACACAGTTCTCGCTTGAGGTGCAGGTTACGCAACACAGCCTTTGTGAAACATATAAGTGCTGCCATCCACTGGAGCACGTCATCTGTGACATAACCCAGTGGTTTAATGTTTCAGGGGAGTCACTGGATCTTTAAGCTAGAGAAAGGATAACTTTACCTGTGTGGATATATATATATAGAAACATACAAAAAGTCTTAAGCATGGTTATTTTTTAATACGAGCGCAGGTTGTGAGAAATCTTTACAATGTTTTATTTTTAAGCTTTGCAGCTCGATGGAAAACAGCAGTCATGGTATGTGCTCGAGCCGGGTATACTGGAGCTTAACCTTGTCATTAACAGTTGCACTCAGAGGATGGCAGGATGCAATTACTGTATGTAAAGTATAATTCAAGACTGGAAAATTAACTAAATAAAAGACCATCACAAAAAAAGGAAGTTAGCTATAGTTGTCTGATCCCTTAAGCTTTGTTGTTGTTGTTTTCATTGTTGTCGTCGAGCATTGTTTACTTCCTCAGGAGAGTCAACGTAGCAGTAGTTTAAAGTGTGTTTTAAATGAAGGAGTGGTGCGTGTACAGTATGTGTGCTCTGTCTCTGGTATGTGTTTTTAAAGATCCAGTGAGCTGGTGACAAGTTTGAAACCTGCCCCAGCGTATTCTCTCATAGGCAGCCTGAGGGGTTGTAACAGTACAGGGTGTGTTGGGAACATGTCAGCTGTGCACGTACGCTAACCTATATGTATATGTATCAGAAGCAAATAAGATGCTTTAGATAACAAGCTGTGTTTTCTGTGCATCAGCCTTTAATGGCTTTGACTATGGTTAAATGTCATATGTCACTAAACTATGCACAGCTTCCATTATTGATGATTTGATGACATTCCCATCCATGTAGTGGCACAAGTTCAGATGTCTTAATGATTAATTAGATGCACTGTACTTTATTTTATTATAATTTTGTCCTTTATTTTATCAATATTCAGAGACATGGTGTTTCACGTGTGCGTAACATTTATGTTTTGCCAAACAGAACATCAGTTAGGCCCAGTCCAGCTGCCAGCTAGCATGTCAACACATGATTTAGTGTGTATTGGTATGCTACAGTAATCCTTGGGCTCAGCCTCTTGGCTCAGCTGGAAAGTCGATGAGGCTATAAGTTACAAGAACACTCTGAAGTGTTTCGTCCCCTCTGAATAAAGCTCTGCTCTGCTTTTTGCATGTTAGGCACATCAGGGATTTTATCTGAGAATTGTTGTGAAGTTGTGAACACTCTTTCGCGTCTTCCTCACTTTCCCTCCCCCCTGACTGCTCTGTTAGGGCAAATGATAAAAGACAAAACAGCTTCTATAAGTTGAGCCTTTCCTTTGAAAAGTCTGAGACAAACGGCAGGCCCTCATCCACAAACTCACTCCATGTGTGCTGGTGTTTATAGAGTCAGAGGGGGAGGAACATGGAGGGACGGGGGTGGGGGTAAGACAGAGAGCGAGAGAGAGAAAAAAATTGGCCTGGTCAGAGCCGGGATTCTCAAAGGGAATGTACAACACAATACCAACTTTTTTTTTTACCCCTCTTGTGGTTGCAGCACACTCCCAATTTTCCCTCCTACCTCTCTTTCCTGCTCTCTTTTCCTCCTCCCCCTCTTGTCTTAACACACTCTCTCCCTCACTCCTCCCCTCTGCTCCTTCCCTGCCTCCCTCACTTCCCCCAGTCCACATTTCTGACTCTGAGCGGGGAATGGCTAACACCATGGTCTCGGTGCGCAGCTCGGAGCTGGGGCCGCTCGGCTGGGACGCTGTCACTAAACGTCACCTCTTCCTACAGAAAGTCTCCTCCAAGCTGGGGCCCAATGCCAGGCAGCAGGGAAGAGGCACCAGAGTGGAGAAGGGGCCCTCGGGGCCGGCTCCACCTCCGGGGTCAGGGACTGGACCTCCAGGACAGGGGAGCCCCGGGCCCAGGCAGAGTGATGGCTCCTTGTTGGGAGAGGGTGAACAGAGCGCCGGGGGTGGATCTCCAACGAGAGTGAGGCAGAGCCAAAGTCAGTGCCAGGGTGAGTCAACACGGTGTCTGAATGTATACAGAGACATAAACATGCGCTATTTCAGTAGAGACACTTTTACTTCATGAAACCTGAAATGTAAACACACAGCGACACACTGCACATGGAGTGTATGTCTGCTCCGCTCGACAGCACGCTCCTCAGCTGTCTGTCAGGGGTATAGACTCGTGTGTCAGTCTGTGTGGAGGAAAGAAAAACTCGTCCCTGCAGCAGACTCAGGAAATGAGCAGGCTGACACTGCAGAGCTGCGAGTTAAAATGCCTTCCACATACCGCTACACCACTCGCACACACACACACACTCACACACACACTCTTTCAGGCCCGAGCACAGACTGTTTTGTGATCTCCACACTTTGTCACATACAGGGAGCAAGTTGCTGACGGACAGGCATGTACTGTTATCGTCTGTCTGTGTGCGTGCAGCTGGTGAATTAGATTCTCTTTAAGTTTCAGCTGCAGTGTGTTGCATAAGAACTCTATTTTTTAGTATCTTGAATCTTTCTGCACTAACACTGCACTTCACAAACTACTGCTGGACACTCGGGCTGTGCGTGTTTGCATGTGTGTGTGTGTGTGCAAACTAATTTTATCCTGCACCTCCCTGTTTTTCTTCAGACAAAGTTAAAGGAACAGTGTGTAAGATTTCTGGAGATTTGGTGGCTTCTAGCAGTGAGTACAGCAACCAGCTGAAACTTCTCCCGATTAGAACTCCTGCGGTGTTCATTGTTCAGGAGGTTTTTACCAGGAGCTGGATTATCTGCAGGGGTGTCTTCTTCTCTAGAAGAAACGGACCAGGTGATTAAAAATGGTAGAAACACTGAATGAAGCAGTTTCATGTCACGAATCAGTTTTTCTCAGACACTATTTGGTACGTTGCAGATGGACTTCTTACCCAGCACCTGCCAAGTGTGCTCACCTTTGTTCTCTGATAACTTAATGTGTGCTCAGCTTAAATTTGATCCAGACGTTCAGGAGGTTTTTAGTGGGAGCCGAATTATCCACAGAGGTCTCTTCCTCTCCAAAACGAACAAACTGAATAAAGCAATTTCACATCACAAATCTGTGTTTCTCCGATGCTGTTTGGCATATCAGAGATGACCACTAGCTCAGCACCTGTTAATGTGTGCACACCTTTTTTCTCTGGTAACTTGAGATCCAGATGTTCAGGAGGTTTTAACTGGGAGCCGGATTATCTGCAGAGGTCTCTTCCTCTCCAAAACAAACAGAGCTAGTGATGAAAACCTGTAAAAACACTGTTAAAGTAAGTGTTTTTCCAACGCGCTCATAGCAGAGGGGCTGCTAACTACAGCGGCTGATGCGGAAACATGAATAGTCCTATCTAGACCCAGTGTTTGGTTTATCTACTCTGGGCTAATGTAGAAACAAACAAACGAAATTCAACTTGGTGATCTTTGACGACAATTTTTATACACTAAAGAAAACATACTTGTTATATCGTATTTTGTTTCTGCCAATATATCCCTTCTAAATCCTACACACTGGACCTTTAAAAAAAACTCATGGGTAACATTTTTTCTCTTACGTACTTCCATTACTTTTCCCCGTCTTCTCCGTCATCCTCTTTTTGTTTTTTCTACTTTATTGTTCCTGAAGGGAATTTCAGGCCGGTGTGTGTTTCCTGTCTGTGGCTTTGTGCGTTCGTGATTTGTGTTGAATGGTGTAATGGAGAAGTCTGTTGGCGTCATGTCAGTCACATCCTGACACTGTAGCCTGCAGTCTATAGTGTGTGTGTGTGTGCTAGTAAATGCTGGTGATGAAACACTGTTGAGACACTCAACTTAAACATGGTGTCCCCTGTCTGGTGTCCAGTGGCCTGTAATTCCACTCCTGTGCTCGTGTGTGTGCGAAACTTGACCCTTGTTTTCCATAATCACTGAGCTGCATTGTGTCATTTACATCGCGGAAAACGCTGAAATGTATGTTTGTGTGAATGTGTGTGTGTATGTGTGTGTGAGTGTAAAACCAGATCTTTCTCCTTATAAAGGTCACATTCTGATGGACAAAAGCTGGTTTGTCCTCTTTGCTGATACGCAGGAACAAACGGATGCCTCTTGACCTCAGACTGAAATCACCATCAATGGATTCCTTTGAGTGTGTGTATGTGTGTGTGTCTGCGTCTTTTGAATCTGGTCCTGACTTGATTAATCCATTACAAATCTTTTCCATAATAGGTTTCGCCAGCGTGTTTATGTGCTCAGTGTTTTTATCTGCACTCAGATGTGATAGGCTTCTGTAAACAGATAAATCTGCTTGTAAGATAAAAGAAATTCACCCAAATGAGGGCGAACCGAGCAGTCCACATTTTATCACAGGGTCAGTTTAGGGTCGGGTCTCCTTGGTTCACTCTCTGCAAAGTTAAGTGTGAAAGTTTAACGTGTCCCATGCAGCACATAGTCGTCTTTCCTGTTTGATATGCTGATTTGTGTCTTTACTCTTGAGTGTCAGTGTGGATTTGGTTATGTCACTGAACTGCTGAAGAGCTCCTAAGGCACAACACCCACTATGTTATGTTTAAGCTTATCATCATAGATAAAGCAGGGCTGTTATCTTCAGAGGAGGAGACACATTTAATGACAAGGATTTAGGTCTGAGAAAGACGGCTGAATAAGTTTGTTGCATTTGCTGCTGTGAGTTCTCAAACCAAGCCATCCACAGACATTAAGCCACCAGTTTTCTTTCTGTTATAAACAGGGAATGTAATACACTCTGTGGCTTCTTCCCAAAACATGATGGATTGTAAAAATACTCTGTTAGCAGTTAAAGACCTCGATAAAAATGTTATTTAAAGGTCCAGTGTGCAGGATTTAGAGGGAAGAAATTGAGTATAAGTACGTTTTCTTTGTGTATAATCACCTGGAAATTAGAATCATGTCTTTGTTGCCTTAAATTCGGGAGTGGGTCTTTGTTTATAGAGATCACCATGTTTACTGCCATGTTTCTACAGTAGCCTAGAGCGGACGAACCAAGCACTGACTCTAGATAATGCTTTTTTGCATTTTTGCTTTGGCCAAATGCTTCTGCCATGTGCAGTGTCGAAAAAACACAGATTTTTCAACATGAAACTGCTTGTGAACGTGCATTAGCACTTGGCGGGCAAACCCACGTCTCCAATGTGCCAAACAGCTTCAGAGAAACAGTGGTTTGTAATGTGAAGTTGCTTTATTCAGTGTTTTTACCAATTTCAACCACCGGGTCCTTTTGTTTTGGAGAGGAAGAGACCTCTGCGCATACTTCAGCTCCCGTTAAATCCTCCTGAACAATGAAAACTGAAGGCAATCTAACCAGGAGAAATTTCAGCTGGTTGAAATCTGCAATCCACACTGCTAGATGCCACTAAATCTTACACACTGAACCTTTATGTATGTAAGTAAGTATAGGATTTAGTGGCATCTAGCAGTGAGATTGCAAATTGCAACCAACTAAAACTTCACTCCATGGAAGAGGACCCGCTCCATGTGTAGATAAAAGCAACTCATTCTAAGGAAATGAAAACACAAAGTTCCTTAGTTACATGTGATCATAAATGGACGAAAACATAATTTCGAATATCATATTATCATTTCAGCCAATATATACAACCTAAATCCTACCAATTGGACCTTTAAGTAAAAGTAAAGGTGAGCATGCAGAATCAGTTTAATAAATCAAAATAATTCATATTCCCATTTGAGAAGCTGGGGCCATACACTTGTATATTTTCTAATATTTTGTGTTTAAAAATCTTAATTTGTACAGTCACCAGAAAATAAAGTTATCAAATAATGGTAGTGAAGTAAAAAGTGAAATATTTCTGTCTAAGGTGTAGTGAAGCAAAACTAGAAAGCGGTATGAGATTAATATACTCAAGTGAAGTAAAAGTATCTCAACTTTATAAAACAACAACATGGAGGTGACTGAGCTAGCAGCTAGCAGCTAATGGTGCTAACTCAATGAACTGCGCTAACGATAGCAACAGTGCTGGCAGAGCTAATGATAAACCGGAGGGTGGGTGCTACGCTTGTGCGACAACGTCAGCCTGATATCAGCAGTAACCACCGTAAGAGCACAGTGCAAAGCGGTGGCAATGAGCTAGCCAATACAGCTAAATGTGTGCTAACATGCACGCACAGCCGGACCGTCTACAACAACAAGCCACAGAGAAGCGCTAATTAAACCACCCACAGAGGTAACGTGACTTCTGTCTCTGCTCATGATGCCGTTACTCCACTGTATCTTTACATAGCAAATAGTGTTTTGCTGCTGTGTGTGTGTGTTGTTAGTTTGGAGTTTGGTCTTGGGTTTATGATTAGAATCAGGTAAAAGTCAGGGATTACAGGAGGACTGTGTTCCCTGAGAGGTCTGAACTGGTGTAGTCAGACAATTTTGTGTACATGTGTGTTTTTGTGTATCAACAGTAAGCACGAGGCCGACGTGCAGCGAGCCAGCTCTTACCTAACATTGATTTCTGAGGTAACAGAATCCAGCTGCTTTCCTCTGGCTGGCTTTTCATCAGAACTGAAACCAAATGAAGCCAGATGTTTCCTGCTGGCTTCAGTCACAGTACAAGTTTTACTGCTGCTCTACCTTCGGCCAACAGAGACTCTGTGTGTGTGTGTGTGTGTGTGTGTGTGTGTGTGTGTGTGTGTGTGTTAATGTGAGGTAATGTAATTGCGGTGAACACATGTAAACTTTTTTTCCCTCTCTTTATACAAAACCTTTTTTCTTTGTGCCTTTTTGTCTCGCTCTCCCTCCCCTTCGCCAGGCAGAACTTATGTTTGTAGAGACTCAGTGAAAGTTTGAGTTGAAACTTTAATTACCTTAGTGGATGAATGAGGTTCGTGCAGCTTGTAAAAGAGTAGAAACCAGCAGCAAAAATAGGATATAAACAAAAGAGCTAATTGTTAGTTGCAAACATAGAAAACCAACAGTTTTAATTACAATTGTAGAAAGTGAAATGTATTTAGAGCACATGCAGGATGCACAAATTAACAACAGTAACTCTGTTAATGAGGTCATGGAGGAGAAAAACAGGTCAGTAAGAGACTCCATTGAGGCCAAAAAGGGAAGTGGGATAACTCGTATATTAAGTCGTTAGTATGTTAGTGGGACTGTGTTTAAATAGGTGTGAGGGCTGGTACAACCTCACGTCGACTTTGAGAATAGGTGCGGAAAATTCTTCATGTCTAATATTAGATGATACATTTGTACATTCTCATGCTTCAGATAGAGGAGCTGTGATTTAGGGTCTTGTCAGTGTCAACTAATCCACCTTTGGTCTGGTCCTTCAACATTGTTTAAAGGGATAGTTCACCCCAAAATCAAAAATCCCTTCTTCGAAAAAAATCATTACAGAAACCTTGCAGACTGATTCCAATGCGTTTAATTGTTCTGTTCATTGTGAAAATTCACAATCCGTGACGAAATAAAAAGACATTTCCTCCTTTGCCTCTCCACTGGAGTGATCTATCTGACTGACTGAAAAAACACTGTACCATGGTAGCAGTCCTGATGTAGAGAGGACAAGCAGGACTGCCGGGTCCTCACTGCTTAGCTGGAGATTAGGCTGCAGGTCCTGATTGTCATTGGGAAAAAAAAAAAAAAAGTAATATGCAATGATTATACTTTTTGTGATAACAGCTGCAGACAGGAATAGGATTTAGTGGTGTAGCTGTAGAGTACAAGATGGTTTACTTCATAAAACAGCATCACCACAAAATGTGGGACCTGAGGGACGGTGGATCTGCATCATGGACTCTGGAAATATTTCCATGACTATATTTTCATTGAGAGTGAAACAGAGATTATTTGTCCCCTTGTACTGGCATTTCTTTGTATCACAGTCTTTTGTCTTTACCTCACCCACTCAACCCACTCACTCGTTCAGACACACACACGCACTCACACACACGTACACATGCTCACTCACTTTCTAAGCATCTCGTGTCCGTTGTTTGGTGTGAAGAGGAGGGCGTCATGGCTCTCAGGAGAATTAATTCTTCTTTGGTTTTTGGAAAGAATGTGTGACTCAGTCCTCAAAAATGATGAGAGTTTGAGACGTTGTGCTTCACATTTCCATAACTATAGAACTACAGTCTCTGCGGCAGCACATCCTGGAAACTCCTGTCATCCTCTGGATACCTCATATTATTTTATATGAACATATACTGTATATACTGTTACACACGCATGTACTCGTGGTGTCCAAAATGAAAATCCTATGTAGTTACTCTTCCACTATATTGAGGAACAGAGGTGTCAGAATGTGCTATGGAGGTCACTGCTCCAGGTAGCCTGCCAGTAAGTTTTTCAGGCTGCTGATTGGCCGTCATCTTCCTCTTCTTCTTCGCGTGGCTTTAGGGTTACAGTTACATTGCTGCCTGTGGGTTTGGCAGCTCTTGACAGCGCTTCAATTGTTTTTCCGTTTTCATTTGGACAGAGACTTTTTTTATCACAGAGAGTATAAACGGAATTTTGTTTTGAGAGCAGAGGAGGATAAACCCTGTTTACAAAAATACCCGTCTCCATGTGGACTAGGCCTCGATCAGTTACCAAACCACTACCAGAATTTTGATCATATCAGAATTACCCTGCAGCTCTCCAACTGGTGTCATCTGCTTCTACATAACAATATATTTTATCCCTGTCAGTCAGAAAGGCAGAAAGAAGCAGCACACACAGCTGGTGGCACAGACAAAGAGAGAGACGGTGTGTTTGTGTGTGTAAAGTCAGGTCGTGATAACTGGTTGTTTTGCAGTGTAAACATGAGCTGATATCTATTTAATGTCACAGTGATTTGCCCCTTTTTGTTTCAAAGGGCACTTCGACCTTTTTTTAACCTGTGCATGGCTGCAGCCTTCCTGCTTTTGTTCGTGTAATTCAGAAGCTTAAAGGCAACAAATATCAAGTGCGACATTTAACATCTGTTGCATCTACAACTTATCTGCAAGTTTAGATCCTTGAATGTTCTCTGATCAGTCTCAGTGCGTATCAAAGTACATCAGACTGTGTAAGACCAAAGATTATCTGCAGAGTTAGTTTCAGTATTGTGTCTGTATTGATAAATTCATGGCCTCCCATTTTACTCTCTGTCTACCAGGTATCCCCAAACCTCGCACCACCACAGAGCGAGCATCTGTCTCGGCTGTCCCAGGTCCCGCAACGTCCAACTCCAAACCAACAGCCAATCAGCAACCAGCATCGGGGTCAATCAGACGACCTGCAGCACCTGCCGCTTCCAAACTTCCAGTGAAGGGATTACCCACAAGCCTCAGTTTCTCATCAGTGGGAAGCAATGAGATCAGCGGAGCCACGGGCAAAGGTGAGGCAGTGCGGCGTGTGTGCACACACATTATAGTTGAATCTATTTTTTCCTTTTCTTTTAGTTACATAGATTTATTCTTTTATCACAGCTGCAGTTTTGGACCCTATACTGGGTTTTTATTTGTCACTTTAAGTAGCGTATCTTTGTGGCAAGGATCTGCACATTTTCTCATTAGGCCTCTACAAACCACCACTAAAAACATCCCCACAAAAACAAAGATGAAGACCATTAATTGTGGTCTTAGGCTGATGAGAAAAAGCTAGTAAGTGGAGCTGTCTCAAAGATACTTGTCACATTTCTCCTCCACAACTCCTCTTGTAGTTCGATGTAACCATAAGTAGGACCTCGGTTAACAGCTCTACTCTCTAACCTTTCTCTTCTCGTCTCACTCACACAGTAACACATCACAGTGATGGTTACAGATTGCCAGGTTGTTATGGTTACTAGATTAAATGTGCTAGTTCCCATGGTAATATGCTGGTTCTGTATTTAGTCCTGTCAGAGAGCAGTGTCCGTGTCATACACCCCCACGCAGGTAGTTTTTACATGTTGTGTTATTTCACACCCACACATTCGTAATGACTCATTTATTTACACCTTGTTTCGGCTGTTCATGTGGAGCTCTGGACATTCTGTCTCTTGGAAATAAATGAGAGTAACTCTAAGGGCATTATACTATGTGTGTGTTTCAGTCCGATCAGGTCCACCCACAGTCACCTGCCTCAGATATGTTGCACTTTAATTATCCTGATTAAAGAATTGATTAGTGAGACTAACAGAAAATATTAACGTATTTTCTAGTAGAAAATACAGTATTGGTTTTGTATAATTACACACTTAAACAATCTGGCGGTACACATACCTGTTTTATTTGTTTATTTGCAAAGAACATACTATGTCATAATATTCTTTCCCCGCAGGTGTACTGGTTAGAGACTGCATGCACTGTTTGCAAACTTGAGTGCTTGTTTTCTGCTCTGTATGCCGTGCAGTGCCGCAGGAACATTGTTGTTGTTTTTCTGCAAGTCTGAATCAGTTTATAATTGCATAGAAGGATATGAAACATAATCAGAAAACACAGCCCAGAACATAACAGCAGTACTTAGTCACTCATTTCTGCAGTTGTTTGTGAGGTGAAAAATTAAATAAAAGCTTCAGTTTCTGTATAAAACCAGATGTACCCTTGGTGTATTTTAGTTGCACTGACACCTCCACTTTTACCTGGTTAATTTATCCTGATAAATCAGATCAGGTGCATCAAGTGAGCGGCAGAACACTAGCAGATTAGGACAGATACAGTCGTATCTGACATGGAAAATGTTGATGTCACCCTAAAATATCTGATTAACATGACAGCGTCTGTATTAATATCTTCTATGAATTAGATGCTGTGAACACTTCAGGCCTGACACATTTACATATTTTTAAAAACAGTTATTTCCCTCTATGTTTAAAAAAAATCTGCCCACTTGACCTTCGTTATACAAAATATTTCTGTCCCTCCGTCTCCCCTCGTCACAAAGGTAGTAACGTGTCCAGGCTAACGTCATCTTTTGAAAAACACTTCCTGGAGATCTCATCCCAGTTGATTCCCGTTTAATTTGGGGGTGGAGGAGCTCACTCGAAGATATGAATGATGCTCTGGACATGCAAAAATTTTCCATCTATTACTCATCAACAACAATCCCACTCTCGAAATCAGTCACACCATCTGCTGGTTCAGCCGTGCCATATCCAAAGCCATCATTTCTGGAGGACTTGAAACTGCATACACTGAGGTCGACCAAAAACACTGGGCACAGAAGACACCTCTGTTTGTCCATGAAGTGGTGCAGCAGTTCTGAGTTTAAGTTTAAAGTAGTCATTAGACGAAGCAGTGCTCACAAAACTTACCAGTAGCGTGCCATTGTTGTTGTTGTTGTTGTTGTAAATCTGCACACAGGAAAGTGTTGTAAAAAATCTTATAATATCCATTTTCAAAAACATCTGTATACGTATGTGTAGACAGGGCCTGAGTCTCCCTCCTTGACACCACAACACAGACGCACCACACATAAGCATCTGATAAAACCCACATGCTTTCATTTTTGCTGTCTTTAGTCCAAATGGAGCGATGACTGCCTCAGAGAGATAACGGTGTTTATGTTTGACAGCCATCGAAGAAGTTTATAACCAGCATCCTGATCTGATCTCTGAATGTTTACAGAATTTCCTGCGGGGCGTAGTTTTACTGAAAGTCATTTGCGCTCGAGTGATAATGTAAAGATTGGTCCATGATTACACAGTCCAGCCTCTCCTTTGTCTTTGTTTACCGATGTTATTTTCTCTGAAGGATATTAAGTTATTATTTACAGGATTCACACCTTGAAATTAAAAAAAAGCTGACACTTTAAACACCCACTCCAAACGTCTGCTCTTCCATTTATATAAAGCAATCTTAATTTTCTTTCCTTCAGCTTCTCCAGCATCTCCAGGAGCTCCACCACCAACAGGGACCAAGCCAGATGAGCAACCCAGCAGAGGCTCATTTCCTGTGGGCAGCCCGAGCACGGCAAAGCCCTTCGTCTCCAGCCCAGCAGCTCCCAGCAGCGCCAATGCTCCCAGTGACGCAGTAACCACTGGTGTCACTGCTGCTCCAAAGCCTCCTGCAATGAGGAGCAGAGCTCTGTCACTGCAGGCCAGGAGCACTGCCACAGGTGAGTGTGTATGTGTGTGAGTGACCCAAATCTTTCTCATCAACACACATTTACCTTTTTACTTACTGTTTTCAGTTAGTGATAAGATTCAAATGACAAACTAAGGTTGCTTTTTTTGTTACTCTAAGAATTACAGTAAGATAACATCTATCAGATGCACAATATAATTAAACACTTCAGTCCAGATTCTTGAGCCTCTTTCTCACTCACTTCTCTGTAAATTACTTGGATGAACTTTCAGGCAGTGCTAGTGTTTTTCACTATTCACACATGCACTGCATTCAGGAACATTTCCGTCTTGAGCCTTTTCACACACACTCTGTGACAATGCCGGAATAGATAGGACGAGGGACAAGCAGATGGCACTAATGCATCACTTATGGATGCCAACTGCCATAAAACTCACCAGAAGAAGAGGCAGCGGGCGACGTCTCATATTATTTTCAGGAACATGTCGGGCAAAGAGCTGTTTTTGTCCACGTCAGTGTTCTTGGAAAGTGTTTAATTTCAACAAGTAATATTTTTTCACGATGCTAAACTGAACAAATGGCAGATTCGAATATGTCATCAGTAACTAGGCGTAGGGTTAGTTTCAACATTGGGGGAAACGCCTATAAAACAGGGGACTTTGGGGTCCTCCGTGAATTTCAAGTATCAAATACTTAATTTCTTGCATTCTGGTGAATTCTTATGCACCAATTTGTGAATTTACTGCGCCAATTTTATGGTGTAAATGCCTTACATTTTATCAAAATAAAGTCCTCCTTTACTTTCATGTTCATTGGACACAAATGCACATGTTCTAAATACTGAGGGGGATGTGTCCCCTGCGTCCACACCCCAAAATCTACACCAATGATAAGCAGAGTCTTGGACCTACTGAGAGGTTCATGTGGAAGCCCACAACAGCATTTTGATAAATGGCCCATTCAACGCACTCTTGGGAATCTCTGCTTTGGCAGAATATCATCCTCAAACCCCTCCAAGAATAATATTCTTCTAGCAGTGTGGGTTTATGTAAAAAAAAAAAAAGTTTATTTAATGCCTTTTCAGCATTTTCAGTGCACTTTTAATCAACACTGGGAAATTTGACAGAAAATATCAAAGTAAAATGTGGAAACAGATTTTTTTAACACTCTATAAATCTTGCTTTTAGATCTAATCTTTGCAAGTAGTTTTTTTAACACATGATTTAGTCGTGAGGCCAATGAACAATTTATTTAATGCCCCATGTAATTTTTTTTCAATATTAGGAAGTGTATGAAGGCTGGTACTATTCTAAATGCGGACCTTTCCTTTTGTCAGTGTGTATAAACCAGAGAGACATTTTTATTAAAGGTGTGAACGACTGCAACTTCCCCTCCACCTGTAACAGAGACTAGTTAGCAGGTTGGTTTTCTAACACACATGACGCGTACTTTTCCTTTGCATTGGAGGAAAGAATCAGACAGCTGTTTCTGTGGCGTAACACATCTGGGTCAGAGGCTGGATGACACATGCAATCCTATTACAAAAAGAGGGACAGTCACAGAGTGTAATAGAGAAACAGTGACTACAGCTGTGATGCTAGCTGTCAGACATTGAGCACTGAGTGAGGGCTGAAGGACAAGAGATAGATGGTGGAAGATACAGGATCAAAAACTTAACTTTTTGCTCATTATCTGGCTTCACTGATTTCAAATCTTCCATTTGAGCTGTTCAACTCTGTGACCCAGCAGCTCTGAGGAGAGAGTGGAAACCCAGATCAGGGTTGACATGTTTTCGCATTTGCAACTATCTCAAAGGAGTTTTTCAGATGCATTATTTGCTGCTAAATCCGAGTGCCATCTAGTTACATTATTCCAGAGAAGGCAGATATCTCTACGGCTGATATCACCAACACTCTGCATCTCACACCAAAACAATCTAGACTGATAAATAGCGCTGCAGGCAAGAGGAAGAATGTGTATTTTTAATTTCGGGGTGAACTGTCCCTTTACCTGCAACAGTGTAGGAGGAAACAAAGCCCAAAGACAAATTCTGCGATGAGATTTAACTGACTCCTGTGTCCTCTTCACAGGTCTGAAGGCCCCAACTGTCACCAACCACAACACGGCCAAGACAGCCGCCGCCAATCAAACATCAGCTAAAACAGCTCCACCTGCCAATCAGGGGCCGACAAAGCAGGCATCCCAGTACCCCTTGCAAAGAAGCGGCTCGGCGAGACTCAGTCGGCTGAACAGCACAGGTAAGGATGTGTGAGAGGCAGTGTGTGTACGTGTGTGTGCAGGGCGTTGGTTGTGTGACTGTCATATTGTGTGTTGGCAAGGTGAGATGTTTGTGTGTAACAGGCAGCGGGTGTGTCAGCGGAGCAAAACCGCAGTAATCTCAAGACTCTTGGCAAAAGCTACACTGGCAAACACTCAGGGTTATCACAGCTACTGTGTGTGATTTGTGTGTGTTGACATGTGTGGGTGCATCTTGAATGATGTTGACGTTAAAGCACCTGAAGCTGTTGACTTGTTTTATCTGGTATTCTGAAGGTTTTTGGCAGAACAACACTCAGCTTTGTGCCAAGTAGTAATGATTAAAACTGTTGCCGTTAACTTTGTACTTTCCGTTTGTGTTGCATTAGAAGTGACTTTGATTTTATTTATACAAAGGTTCAGATAATGTGGCTCTTTAAAAGCCAGTGTTGGTAGGTTTTAGATTGATGCTGTTAATAGTAATGTTTATAGACATTATTTAGCTGCACGAAATACTGGCTGAGTGTTTCCAAAGGGTTGATATCAGTCATCGACAATTTAGACGAAGGGAGAACGAAAAAAAGGACAAATTTAATAGCATCAGTTTCAGACAAAAAGCCTGAAACCACCCGGTTCCGGTTTTCCTCTCACAGATTGTGAGTGGAAATAGGGAGGTGGAGCCGTACACCACCAGAACGACGTGTGTGTTGCTGTAAGACTGGCATACAAAATGAAGGACATATAATTGTGTGCCCTCATACAGCATATCCGTGAGAAATATGGACATGACCCTACTGAACTGAGCTCACTCTCAGTCATGTTACATGCATGTCTTGCAGTACTGGAGCACCAGCAGGCCTCAACTGAATGAAGGGATTCTGTGTTGTTAGGTGTATTCACTTTTAAGGTTTTTACTAATGGGTTTATCTTATGTAGGATTATTTTGTACATTGTTTAGACCCAAATATTTTATTTGTTTGTGTCAACAGAATAACTACTGTAACTAAGATAGCGCTAATGTGCCCTGATGCGTCCCTGATAAAGACCACGTAATCAGTGCAGGACAGGGTGGTTGTTTTTGTCACAGCAAACTAAGGCTCTATAACTTGAGTTGGACAAAATGGTCTGTGACCGTCCATTGTTTTCCCAGCGTAAGGAAATGTGTTGACTTCTTCTGAAAGTGATATTTCCAGCTGTAGTGACACAATCGCTAAAGTGACTAGCGTGCAGCTAGTGTGTGGACATAATAACTGCGCTGGGGCCCTTGACCCCTCTAGCATGATGCAGGCAGCAACGAAATGTGAACAAAGCCAGTCAGCTGGAGACACATGATAGACACAGGCATAGATGACAATGTGTCTCGGCTGTTTATGTGTGTTCAGATCAGTGACAAGCATGTAAACACCAGGTGAGAGTATACCCATGTCGTTTTTAGTAACCTACCCATCTACCTTGTAGTACACCCACCCCATCAACCCACTTCACCATTGGTTGAGAACTGTTAAGAGCCTTTACTCTGCACTCTGCATGTGTCGGTTTGTATGTTGATTATGTTGTGTTTGTGGAAAGTAAATGCTGGGCTTAAGATGCACTAAGAACAGAACATCCAGGTTCCATAAGAGCACATATCCTGAGGCTGTCTGCCTCCTTAACATTACAAACATTGCACTGCAGTACACTCAGCAGGTTAAATAGTTTAATGTGATGATAAATTCACTGTGGGTGCTAATGTTTGGTGCTCTGAAGCATTTGATTCTCATTCATTCATTTTCCATAACTGCTTATCCTGTTGGGGTTGCAGGGGGCCTGCAGCCTATCCCAGCTGACACGGGGTGAGAGGCAGGGTACACCCTGGACAGGTCACCAGACTATCACAGGGCTGACACATAGAGACAGACAACCATTCACACTCACATTCACAGCTACGGGCAATTTAGAGTCACCAATTAACCTGCATGTCTTTGGACTGTGGGAGGAAGCTGGAGTACCTGGAGAAAATCCACACTGACACAGGGAGAACATGCAAACTCCTCACTTATCCATTTGTTTTTAGTTTTTATGATCATGTGTATGGATAGAACTGAATCTGTTTTTATTTTTGCCTAATGTGCATAGTGGTTTTACTATATTTGTCTTTCTTCGTCTTTGTTTAAGTCAATCAATTCAATTTTATTCACAAACACAGATTAAGAAAAACACAAGTACAATTCATAAGAAATAATGCTTGAAAATAGGGGCTCAGACATGAAGCAAATTGTATTTTAAAAAGTGTATATGAACACGTTGTCTAGATTTAAGAAAAGGAAGTGCATGTAATAAACAGTAACATTCATAACCTACAGAACTAGACTGTAGACAAAGACTAACCAAAAACCCTAGAGACTAAACTAACCTAATGCTCACGACTAAATGCTCCCAAGACATTTATTCCATCAGTCTAAACATTGGTTCGATAAATAAGACAACATAAATAGGAACACATGGCAAGTGGAAATAACCTTACAGTGTAAATGGATATTAGTCGTTTAGGGTGTTCATGCTTTAACATATTTTTTACAATCTCAATCTCAATCTCATTCCACACCTGGACCTCTACAAACCAAACTAAAGCTCACACATTTAAGTTTACATTTTTTACCCTCTATAAGATGCTTTTTTCAAGTCTCGTGTATGAGAGGATATTCAGTTGGATAAGGTCACAGAGTCTGTTGTTGATCTTAAATACAGCATTATACATTATACCTGATACCATCAGTGACCTCATCGAGACAAGTTCCAGTTAACCATGTTGATATGGCAATAAAGGTATTGAATCTTAAATCAGCAACTTTTAAAAAGTGATATGAGATCATTAAACTATGCTCCTGGATGTTTACAGTTCAGCTGCACACACACCAACACACAGATTTGGGCTGACTGTCGACGTCTCATATCCTGGAAGCTTAAGCAAACATAATTATCATCCCTCTGCAGTCTCTCTGTAATTATTCTCCTGCTCATGACACACACACGCACAGAAATTACGTTCTTTGAATTTAGAGTGGAGCCATATTTGCGTCTGAGCAGTACTTACGTTGGATGTTTTAGTACTGTTTAGTGTGCTGAAACGCTCAGTTTTCAACTAGTAAACACTCATTTGTTCACAGGTTGAATTACGCAAGCAGTCGACAGTCCAACATTTCACACCTTTGATGTCACGTGACACTGAAACTCATTTTAAAGCAGCTTTAGGAACGATTTTGGTACCAAGACAACATCTCAGCAGATACACGTGCACTCACAGACGGTGTCTTAGCATGAAAAACACTGGTCGTATTTTCTGAGGCCCATTTTTTGTGAAGTGCTGCTGGTTTCGCACATGTGGGCCCTGTGAATCCGGGGCCTTTGCTTGCAGCCTCCCCCCAGTGTGGTGACTCTGGTGTGGACCTGGGCGCCTGGCTGCCTCCCCTTTGTGGCCGGGCCTGGAAGTCTCTCTGGGGCCTGTGGGGAGCCACTACTCACAGACATGCTGTCACCCTTGTGATGGCTTCACCACCACACACACACACAGGCAGGCAGCCTCCACTTCATAAACCCCACACATGCATTTGATTCATTCACCTCTCTCTCTCATTGACACACCGCAGCAGCCCTCAGGCGACAGTGGTTAGCAGTGTGGGCTTTTAACACATCCAGTGGCTTTCTTTAGCTCTGTTTGTCTCTATTGGACACACACTTTATTGATTCTTATATACACACGGGACACTGGTTTTATTGTCCATGAGCTGTGTTGTGCTCTCAGGGGATCATTTATGTGTCACGGTTGAGTTGTAATTTTTTTAAGGATGATTTGAGGTTCATCCTTCTTGTTTTAAAAGCAGTGTACTGTGCACATTTTACCATGCCGAGTTTATGAATAAAGTTTATGAAATGTTGGCTCTAAGTGGCTCAGCATCACGTATACATATATTTAATGTTTAAACATTTGTCAATATGGACATGTTACACATCGTTAGCTTGGTTAGATTCTCTACAATCAAAATATTTATCTCATTCTTCCAAATCCGGCAACATGGGTGTATCATTCTGCCGTGAAAGGTGCTTGTCTGTGTCGGCATCCTCTGCAGAGATCACTGACACAGTGACAGCCTTTGATGAGTTGGGAGTGAGAACAGACTGGAGTCAAATAGTGACACATCAACACTTGGTCAGTGGCCCTCAGTGTCAGATACTGACGCACCGTTTACCATCAGTGTGAGGTGCTGCGGGAGGAGGCATTTTTTGACGCCCCAAGCAACTGCCGTAGTATAAAGACAGAAAGTCCGCAATGGGCAGGTGTGAGGGGAGGTGGGTGTCACTTGAAATTTGTGATCTTTGACATATTAACAAAAGTTCTTATTTTAAGCCAAACCATGATGTTTTTTTCTAAACCTAACATGTTTTTGTTGCCCAAACGAGCAGGCACTGTGCATTTCCTGTGATTTGGAAAGACCGTGATTGTAAACATAAATTGACGCGCCATCCCGAAGTGTCCAAAAGTGATGCTGGGGGGGTACCTAGAGCGTCATAGTTTGACCTGTTAGGTCACTCAGTACCTTCATATGCACAGTTAAGTCCACCTATGGTTATAGCTTGACATAGTCATTTAATTCATCAATTTATTGACTGAAATATACGACTCCAATATGATAGGTGGCGATCTGTCCCCTTTCAGCTTGTTAGTATTTGACCTTTTTCTGGTCGACCTATTTTGTCACAGACCAAACAATCAACAAACAAGTTAGCTTTGGTTAGCTAGTGGCAAACTGTTACCATGGTGGACAACTTTGTACAACTCCGTCCAAAAATGCACGGCTCTGGATGTAAATTTTGCTTCTTCTTCTGTTATGCATTTAATGCTTTTGATTTCCGGGTCAAAGTCCGGGGGCGGAAACTACGGAGCATGCACTGAGCGCCACGGCCAGTTTGGGTCTGATTGACTGTATACATGCAGGAGTAATTCGACTTCCAATTGCATTATCTG